TTTTTAACTACATCACCCACTGTGGCTTGCTTCATCCATGAGTTGTGTGATCGAGTGAGTTTCATTTTCATGGTAAATGTGAGCGAACATTGTCCACCCTTGCTGGCAGATTAAGCTTAATAAATCAGCCTCATATCACCAGGAATAATACTTCACAGATTAACTTATGGGAAGTTTAGTATTAGCACAACATAGTACATAATGTACAACAAAGCATTCTCTGAACACTGTACTGTATAAAGAGGCTTTTCATCTCTGTAATGATATAAGGCATTATAAATACGATTCAAGTTGTGTAGATATTTTATGCAGTTTTACTACTGATACTGTCCTCTACAGGGAATACACATTTTTGAATTGTTTTCTTCATAGCACCCTGTACCTCCTGATTACGCAGAGTGTAGATAATAGGATTTAAAAGAGGAGTTACTGCAGACGGGATGATGGAAACAATTTTATTCAGGTGCATGAGACCTCCAGTGCTGGGCCTGACAAACATAAAGGTGATAGGCCCATAAAAAAGGCATACAACAGTAAGGTGTGAAGCAAAAGTAGAAAAAGTCTTGCGTCTTCCTATCGCAGTGGGAACCGCAAGAGTTTTCCTTATTATACAAATATAAGAGATAATAATTAAGACAAAACAGCCTAATATTATGAACAAGCTAAAGCAGAAAAATACCTTTTCAATGTGTGAAGTCTTGGAACAAGACAGTTTGAGTATTGGCGCCAAATCACAGTAGTAATGATCAATATGGTTCTCCCGACAAAATGAGAGGCTTGCAATCTGTACACAAGGAGTAATCACTGAAACAAAGCCACAAGCCCAGGACCCAAGTATGAGTATGGTGCAAACTTTAGGATTAATGATGGCTAAATAGCGAAGGGGGTTGCAGATGGCTACATAACGATCATAGGCCATCACAGTCAGGAGGAAGATTTCTGTTGTTCCAAGAGAAAAATGAAAATAAAATTGTGCCATGCATCCAGCTGGGGATATTGCTTCCTTTGTAGTTCCAAGAGACCACAAGAGCCTGGGGACAGTGACTGAAGGGTACCAAATCTCAAGGAATGACAGTCCACCAATGAAGAAGTACATAGGCTTGTGAAGATGTCTTTCGGTTTTGACAATGATAATTATAAAGAGATTGGCTGCCATTGTAACAACATATGTAATGGCAATTATTATGAAAAGATAAAACCGCGTCTTTTTCAGAAAGGAGAATCCGATCAGCAGAAATTCTGTTATAACTGTCTCATTCTTATGTATTACTGTCAACATGCTGACCTACAGATAAGGCAAAGATAGTGGAAACAACATGACATGGTCTACTAGTGTAAAGAAGCACCAAGGATATGAGTGCATTATAGACTTTGGAGCCATCATGACCCCATCTGACGGCAAAAGTTAATGTTATCATACACAGAGATCTTCCAACTTGTTGAAAATTCTCTATATGGACCGGCTTTATTCATGAGAGGCATTTTTGTAGCACCAGCAAAATATGTGTTTTACATATTATTCATTCAGTCCCTTTCCTTAAAGAGCTCCTTTACCACCCTTGTTTTTGAGTAGCTAATGAAAGAATGTCAAGATTTTTATTTAAGATGTATTGGAGATTTAACATTTAGCAAAAGCAATGCTGGGTGTTCATTTGCCCAGCTTTTCCTCAGCTCCATGGGAATACAAGAAAGAAAACACAAATTGCCCTACTGTAACAGTCATCTTATAATTGTATTAGTTTACAGTAGTATGGATTGTAGGTTCTACTGTATGCACAATTTTTAAAGCTGAACTTCAGAGATAAAACAGTAAATTACACAGTTAAAATAAACATGTGAACTGTGTTACCATCCTGGTGCAGTCAGGATGGTAACACCACTTTCTGGTGGAAAATCTGAACTTCAGGCACAAGTTATTGAGCTTTGACATGCTCCAAACAATCTCCTGGCAGTGGGACAGACTAAGAGAAGCATTGTAAAGCAATGGCTGGTTGTGTTCCAAGTAGCACATGCAAAGTGCAGGTCAATGGGAAGTGGCACCGTACCTAATGCATTTGGAAAACCAGTTGTAGTTATGTAGTAGCAGCAGTGACATAATTACTGTACTGTACACAGCCTGTGCAGAGAGCTGAACTGTAAGAGGGACCCAGCAGGTCTACCCACTACCGGCTGCCTGAAAAAAATACAAGGGGCAGATGCAAGACCAGTCACCCTGCCCAAGAAAGAAGAGAAAAGCAGTGAATGGTCTTCATTATATGAAGCTCCTGGGGAAAAAAAAAGCCAAAGCCTCATGCTGGAATACTGTACAGATCTAGAACAAAATACACAAAGTACACCGAGATTCAAGTAAGGATACACATGCATGATATATGGCATATCTGTGCTTTACCTACCAAAATGCGAGATCTAGTGTAAGAAACCCCAGCTTAATGTTAATTCTCTCTCAAATAATAAGGCAAGGCATAGTGCCTTATATAAATACATAATATCAGTCACCACTGATGAATAGGTGCTATTAATATCCATTAAATCCCATCTGTTTTTTCACACAAGGGAATACTATAAAACTTAATTTTATATGTAAGACAAGAAAAAAAAACACTTTTATTCAAAATCAAGAAGTTTTTATTTGAAAGTAACAAAGCTCTTCATGTCTTACAAAGTGTTTTGCTTGCAGATAGAGAAAATAACAAAAACAAAATAGAACAAAGTGGCTTACAGCACAAAAAGTTGCATGTTTTGCAGTCAGTGAATCTCCTGATGTAGAGATATCATGCAAAATCCTGATTAAAATCTGAAGTTACAATATACTCATATTTAACGTTATGATGCAAAGTGCATATTAAGGTTGTGAACATAAAGAGATATTCCATAAACTAGCTTCTACAGTTATCAAATAACAGTTGTCTATGTTCTACATTCATCAAAGGCACTAATAGTTTTATAGACCATGTTCTCCAAATATTCTATGCATGACTAAGGCAGGGGGTATGAAAGTTCAGTCACTAAGCCATCATTCCAATTTTTTTCACATTTTCAAGAGCTGCCCCTGTGAGTAAAGGTTATGCTTTCTAAGAATAGGATAGTATTTACCTTTTCCATCCACAGTCATTTTGTGGGAGGTTGGAAGGCTAGGCAATGGTGTGCTATTGTTTGCTTGTGTGGGTCTTTAACAGGAAGTTCCAAAATTCTCAGGATTCCCATTTTTTATGCATTGGAAAATTGAAGGTGGAATGCATGGTTAATATTATCAAACACTTTCTGCCAGTAGCAAACCAATTTGTGGCATTTCCAAAACATGTCAATTAGATCCCCTTGTCCAGCAACTAGGACACAGTGGGGAGTCTCTGCAAGAGAAACAATATAGCCTTTGGTGGGCTGGTGCACCCTATGCAATAGGAATAGCTGGGTAAGTCTTAGGGAGGGGGATATAGACTTCTGAGATACCCCCTGCAGTGCTTCAAGCTAATACGACCCACGTCCTGTATCCATTTTTCTTTACATGATAGTAAGGCAAGACTGTTAGACCAGGCAAGTACAGTAATATAGATATATTGAGGTTGAGCTATAAATTAGGTCCATTTTGTTTATTGTTAGGTCAGTGAGTTTTTTTTTTTATTAGTGCGTGTATGGCAGAGTTGGACAAACCTAAAAAAATAGAACTTGGAAGCTTAATTTCAGTTTGGAGTTGCTTAATGTATTTAACTATTCAAGAGATATTACTGTACAAACGGGTAAGTCCCGCCTTTTTCAATAATATTTATTGGAAATATTTTATCCAACAAAGGGGCATATTTACTGAAGCCCTGATATTTAGGATTTTTATGTGTAGCAAAGTCTTATTAAACAAGTTGGGTGCTGTATATGTTTTAAAGGAGCACCAGACTCCAAGAGTGAAATGTTAGCTTATGAATTAACAAAAGATGGATGCCAAAATCTTATTCCTGGCCTGCAAATGAATGTGGACAAAGGGGCAGAGATGCTGGATGACATCATTTATAGCCTATGGGCTTGGTCATATTTGGTCAATGATCTGACTAGCTACAGACGTTCTGCCATGCAACCCCATCCAGTCTAGTATTTTTAATACTTTCTGAATCACTGCCTCAGAAAATGCTTGCTAATTCGGTGTTTTGTTCCACATCAGTAAGTTAAAAAGTACAGACCTGGAAAACCAGCCCCCATGTTGACGAGAACCTCTTTTCCATGTCGAATCCCTAAGAGGATGTGGGGGTCTAAGGGTATAACTATTGGACTTTGGAGGCCCCTTCAAGAAAATGGCACCCCAGGTGAGAGTTCTGGTTTCTGTAGGAGCCATATGGAGGTTATAGTGCAGCAATGGAGAGGAAAAAGGGTCTGCAGCAGGAGCTATATACTATGTGACCGGCTACATGCACAATTGGCCACCATCCAGTCTAATATATAGTATTTGAGGTTGAATAAAGACATTAGTCCATCAAGTCCAACCTATTAGGATCTCATTCTAGGAGTACCCGTACCCCTGTATATTACGGTCCCTTAAGAAATCGTCCAAAAGTTTCTTGAACAATTCCACATTATTTGCTGAAATCACCGCCTGTGGCAGTGAGTTCCAGACCCTAACTGATCTTACTGTGAAGAACCCCCTTCGCCCCTTGTGCTGGAATTTTTTTTTCCACCAATTTTAGGTGATGGCCTCTAGTTTTTGTAACGGAGTTAATTTTAAACAGTTTATCGCTAATGTTGCTACCACCATTAAACATTTTGTACATGGAAATCATATCCCACCTTAATCTCCTCACCTCTAATGTGAACATGTTTAAATTTAGTAGCCTCGTCTCGTAGCTCTGGTCCTCCATACCCCTAATTAGTTTGGTTGCCCTTCGCTGGACTTTTTCCAACTCCAATATGTTTTAATGCTTTCCAAATCACTGGCTCAGAAGTTGCTTGCCAATCAGGAGTTTTGTTCCACGTCAGTAACTCAAAAAATACTTTTCATGTACTTAGCTTTAAGCGGTTTGCTAATCTCTGTAAGAATATAAGGCACTTTGAATAAAATCAGTTGTTTTCAGCATTTTTATTTTGCCACAGATACCATCCTTCTCTAATGGAAAAATAAATTTTTGAGCAGTTTTCTTCATTGCTTCTTGCACCTCATGGTTGCGCAAAGTGTAGATAACTGGATTCAAAAGAGGAGTAACTACTGAGGGAATGATGGAAACTATTTTATTCAGGTACATGAGTCCACCAGTGCTGGGTCTGACAAACATGAAGATGATGGTGCCATAAAATAACAAAACAACAATAAGGTGTGAGGTAAAAGTAGAAAATGTTTTGCGTCTCCCTATAGCAGTTGGAAACATCAGAGTTGTCCTTATTATACAAATATAAGATATAATAATTAAGAAAAAACAGCCTAATATTATGACCAAGCTAAGGCAGAAAAACATCTTTTCAATCCTTGAAGTTTCTGAACAAGACAATTTTAGTAATGAGGCCAAGTCACAGTAGTAATGATCAATTTGGTTCTCCCTACAAAATGAGAGGTTTGCAATCTGCACACAAGGAGTAACCACTGCAATAAAGCCACAAGCCCAGGACCCAAGTATGAGTATAGTGCAAACTTTAGGACTTATAATAATTAAATAGCGAAGGGGGTTGCAGATGGCCACATAGCGATCATATGCCATTACAGTCAGAAGAAAGATTTCTGTTGCTCCAAGAGAAAAGTGAAAATAAAATTGTGCCATGCATCCAGCTGGGGATATTGCTTCTTCTTTAGTTTTAAGAGACCACAAGAGCCTGGGGACAGTGACTGAAGGGTACCAAATCTCAAGGAATGAAAGTCCACCAATGAAGAAATACATAGGCTTGTGAAGACGTCTTTCACTTTTGACAATTATAATAATAAAGACATTGGCTGTTATTGTAACAACATATATAGCTGAAATTATTATAAAGAGACAAAGTCCTTTCTCTTTCAGAACAGAGAATCCAATCAGAAGAAATTCTTTTATGACTGTTTCATTGTTATGTCTAACTGATAACATGGTGAACTACAAAAAAGGCAAAAAAGACAGAAAGAACATGACATGGTCTAGTGGTGTGAAGTAACAACAAGAATAAAGATTATATTTGTTGTGGAGTCATCATGGCTTTATTATAGTAATCGCAGGCAAGTGTAGAGGGCGTCTACTCATATTTATTTCATAGGAATAATTCTGACTCATCGTATTGCAGAAACCTGCAATGTCTAAAGTAAAGAGTGGTTTCTACACAACTTTTCACTTTTGAATTTCCAGCCGGCGGTGACGCCCGAAAACTAAACTAAAAGTTAGATGCCATCATCTGACTTTTAGTTTAATTTTCGGGCCGCGCACAGCAGAGGACGCCGCAGGCTCGGGGTTACAGCTCCTGGTATGAAAAATTCACCCCGAGCCAGACTCGGGAATACCGCCAGGGAGGTTAATCGAATTTTTTTTAAATTGATTAATTTCGATTAATTATAACTCACATACAGATCCAACTACATTGGCCTATATGCATACATCACAGCAATGAAGTAATAAAATGAACTAGGATCACACTAATCCAGCACGTTATTAATCTCACGTGCCCCACTCAATATGGCCGCCGCTTAAGTGGGGCAACTCAGAATAATAACGTGCTAGTTTCGTGTGATCCTAGTTTATTTTATTACTTCATTGCTGTGCTGTATGTGTATAGGCCAATGCCAGGGATCCCAACCTGAAATAAGCAATTTCAGGGAGGTGTCCCTCTCATTTCAGGGAGGTGCCCTCTCCCCCCTCGGTTGAGCAGATTAAATCTTTCCTATAAAAAGTGTTTCTCTCCCGGCCGGGATGTGTACTCACCGGCCCAAGCAGCTCCATCGGGTAATGATGGGAAGGGGGAGGAGTCCGGTGACGTCGATGTCCGTGACGTCACCGGATCTCCGACGGAAGACCCGGAAGCCGGCGGAGAGGTGAGTACGGATCAAAAGAACTTTGATCGATCAAAATAATTTTGATCGATCAAAAAAATTGACGATTAATCGAGGGATTAATCGTTAATTTCCGCAGCCCTAGTATTTATAACAAACCCTCACTAACCTTTGTAGCTGCAGGAATTGTGGAGTAATTGATCCCCATTGATTAGGCTGTGACATCAGCCTAAGGGGAGAAGAGCTGTGATTTTGGAGTCTCGGTTGTGAACTTCAGAAGATTACTTTCTCCACAGGGCCTGCAGCTACAGAGGTCAGTGAGGTCTTGTTTCAAAGCTCTTGTTCATAATTTAATGTTCACAGTCTAGACACAGGTACACTTTAAGTGTCCCTACTAGAGAGATTTTCTCTCAGTACCTATCAAGACAATATGTATTGGGAAATCATACAACAAAAAAGAGACGGAAATAAAAATAAACTAGCAGAGATTTTAATTCTCCAAAACTATCCAAAATTTGAAAATAAAACTAATTGTTTGGGGTTAGGATTTAAATATTATTAAAGTAAAAAAATATTGCCACCCCAACAATGGTTGTCTAACGATTTTTTGTATAGGGATGCTTTCTGGAAATATGATTTGTGTACATTGTGCATGACCGCATTATGTCCTGGACCTCCATTGAAATGTTTCAGAAATATTACTTTAGTTTGAAGCCTGCTTACTTTTCCACTAACTGTAGTAGTAGGTCACATGGTTAAGGCTAGAGGTTGTCCTCTCTTTCCTTTTCTTCACACAGTCCAACCCCAGCATAGCTTGTCTGCATTCTCTTTCTGCAATATTATCCACATGGACACTGTGTAACAGGGCACTTGTTGTATCAAGCGCCTCAGGATGCATAGGGTATCATCACCATACTCCTATGAAGTTGTTCCTGATATACAAATTCAGTTCTTGAGATTCTATTTATGAAATGGCACTCCACCAACCAAAGCCTTTTCAGGAGATTTGTTTCTACAATATGCCCTCTTGAAGGAAAGGATTCCACTTATGCGGACACATAGGTATCTAAGTTGGCTGCTTATCAAGTATACATATGCTTCCATCCCAAGTGGATGGTGATAAGTAATTACTTATCCTACACCTGGACAATCATCAGTAATGCTCACTGAGCCAAATGTTTTTTTCATTTACCATCTGTTTTGTTTTGTCTTTTATGTGGGGGGGTGGGGTGGGGTTTATGGGGACCAATGTCTATTTTAGAATTGCATATTTACACATACTGTATATGTGATTGGGGCCCTTTTTTAGGGTGTAATAATAAAACATTTATATTTTTCTATATAAACATACAAGTTATGGCTTTTTTTCACTGTTGACTAAAACAAACATGTGTTCCATCTGGCCTCTTTAATAACGTTGATTAGTGGGAATCCTTCGGTCTTTGATAGTTTTTATTAACAACGCGAGAGTCCATTTGGAAAACAGTTTACTACATGTGTGTACATATACACTGAATTATCCTGCTCTAAGGATTTTATGAATTGTTGATCCACTAGCCTTGCGTTTGGAACGCACATATATATATTTTTGTTTTCCTTTTTTCCTCTCCTTGGGTTCCTCAGTTGTCTTTTTCATTCTCTTTCAGCAAACAGTTTAATAGAAGGGATTAAGGAATGCAGAATTTAGAAACATAAAATCAGGCAAGAGTTAAATGGCCCAGTTGTCTAATTATAATTTTTTTTACTTTATAAAGCAGAAGAGAAATATATTATTCTATATGTTTGCATTGTCAAAAATCAAAATGGTGAACTTTTACAAATTATTTTACTGAAATATTTTACAAAATGTGCATTTAAAGCAGTAGGTTTGGTTTAAAATAAGAATTGATGCAGTTCAGATTGCAAAGTGAATGTTAGATCAGCGAACATTCAGTTTGCTAAGTGAACAGGCTCTATTCCTTTAGTAAACCAAACTGGAACAGTATGACAGCAAAGCAACTAACATTTCCAGAAAAAGGACAGCAATATAATTCTCTATATTCTCTCATTGCAGCATTCCTTTTACATAAAACACATTTGTTGTTTCAACAGATCCTTCAGCACTTGTTAAATGAAGTGCATAGAATTTAAATATAATCTATTTGATATAAAAATATGTATCTATTCAAATTTTCATAATTATTATTCCTTGTTTTAGTATTTGTGATGAACAAATAAAATGTACAGAACATTATAGTTGTTATATTTTTTATTTTATACATATACATATGGAATGGTATGGCTACAATAAGCATCACATATACATAAAATGTTAAAGTAATTTATGGAAACATTACAATAATTTATATTTGTAATCTTTACCGATCAGTGTTTGGTGATCTTGTGTAAGAAACTCTTTATGGTTTTCAAAAAAGTCTCTCTGCATCAATAAGGCAAGAAATATCACTCCTCATATAAATATGTAAAAGTGGCCATTACTTATAAATATTCCACTCTGAAACACAGCCAAATCATCTTCATACATGGGAATACTTTTAGTTATAGAAAAAGAAAATAAAAATTTCCCTAAGGAAACTTTTATGCTAGTTATTGGTCTCAATGGACCTTCCTTAGCACAAACTTCTCTTCTCGTTTCTAAATAATTAGTTTTATAGTCTAGGAGTTTATCAATGAATACGTTTGCCAAGTTTTCTTATGTCTTCTACCCGATTCCATGCATATTAGAAACTTTTGCTTGCAATTATAAAGAACACTTCTGGATTTAAGGCATTTTAGGTAAATCTATCCTTTGCCTATGCAAAGCAAAAGGTTCCTTTTAATACTTGTACTAACAGCTGTACATACTATCAGGGTTATTCACAAAAGGGTGAAGAGTTTGGAGAAGGCAGGAGAAGTGAACAATCTAGGACAACATAGCTGAACTGGAAAGTGAGCTGAATTGGAGACGTTTTCCGAATCAGCTATGTTGTCCTAGATTGTTCACTTCTCCTTTCTTCTCCAAACCCTTCACCCTTTTGTGAATAACCCTGACAGTTTCCCTTCGCTCCACCACCATTCTTTTCTGACAATGTGAGTGAAAACAAATACCCTGTACTTCTGAGTAGAAGGAGCATGTGACTCATTCACCATCTTCCCATGTGACAGTGTTTTTGCTTGGTGATTGGTTACTCAGGTACCCAGCACTGTCACAGATGGGCAGGAAAAGAGTACTTATCTCTGTATAATCTTTAATTTAAACTTGAAGCAACTAAATGCTCCTGCATAGGCAAAGCACAGATTTAGTTGGATATCAGATTTGATAGTTGACACTTTGGGGTTGATTAAGTAAAAGAAAATAGGATGTTCACTTTGCAAAGGCTTTTTCCCTGACTTGTTGTATACATTGCTTTTGCAAAAAATACAAAATCATGTGCTAGGAAAATGAAAAAATACAGTATTTTTGCTTGCACGTGATTGGATAAAAGAAGTCAGCAGAGCTTTACCTAATTTACTAAGCTAAGTGAAATCCCCTCGCAATGTGAAAATTCCATTGCAAAGTGAACAGCCTATTTGCCTTTAGTTAATCAACCACTTTAGATTCATTTTTTTTAATCATCTTCCTTAACCCATTTCTGCATTTTTTTTTTTGGTGTGCTAGTCGGAGGAATAAATAATGGCCCACATGGAAGTTATTCTTGCATCTGCAGGTACAGAACAATATAGCCATTCATTACATATTGTGGATACATCTACAGGTAATGCTGCTGTACACATTCACAACAATAACAAGTATACCTATCCCAATATTATATATGTTTACTATTGATTGCCCAGAACTGTGCAGTACAAAGCAAAGGGTTCAACCAAATAACTACTTATATTTCCTCTGATCCCCCACCACTATGATCGCCCACATGGGCAAATTGTGTAAGCTCTGGCCAGAGCTTAAACATTGCTAAGAACTCTCTCCTCTTCCCCATATGACAGTACTGGGGTTTGGATGCTCAGACACCAAACAGTTATTAGTGGGAGGAAGGGAAGCAGATCACATGCTCCCCAAACCTGGGCATTTCTTTTTTACTCCAATAATGGATAACGAAATGTATTGGCAGAGGAACGAATAGAAGGTGA